ACGTTGGACTGGATGATCTTGGAGGTCTCTTTCAACTTTAACAACTCTGTGATGAGAGTCAATGTCTAAGGTGAGCCCAGGAGCAAGAGATAACCACGGCTGCTCCAGGATGGATACCTCCTCCTTTTGCAGAAGGGAGTTGTGAGCAGAACCCGGACAAGTGAGGGATGCGCTGAACTTTGAGAACTGAGCTGGGTAAATCATTCAACATGGATGAACATTTCAGACTTATTCATATCTCCTCTACACACAGAATTTCACAGGATCACACAGCAGCACCTTGCAGCAGGTTCAGGCTGGGGGTTGACCAACACATGACGCCTGCAGTGCAAATATCCCAGAAACTTCAACATTATGGGAAAAGAAAAGCAGTTTCAACTGATTATTTTACACAGGTCAATGAACGTGAAGCTCTGGTGCTGTGGACAAGAAGCCAGAGCTCCAGCAGAACGATTTCAGACAGCTCTAGCTCAGTGATACTGCACAGGCTCTGAAAATGTCTTGGAAACTCTTGCTTTCCTTTTCTACCTCTCTGCAGAAATAAAGCAATTCATGAAACCAGAGAGAATTAAAATGCAGGGATTTAGCAGTGCTTCTCTGTTATTTAGATATCACCACTGCTATTCACTCTTATGGACCCCTTAATACAAACAAGGTTCCCTTCCTCAGATTTCACAGGGTAAAAGACCAAGCTACTTCAGGCCATGTAAAAGCAGAGGAGGAAACAGGAGGCATTTCCAGGAACGGGGAAGATGTGGAGAAAGCAGCTCTGGTTCATGGTCTCAGTATGACGGAGTCGCTATCTGAGGAAACCTGAGCAGTTGCACTAACACTGAAAGTACTGAAAAAAAATAATTAAAAAGGGAAGATTCCCCCTCCAGTGATCCCCAAAGGAGGAAACAGATGAGAGATTTCAGCTGCTCCGAGAAATCCCGGTATTACTCGGCAAGTCATACAGCAACCAGCACATCTCAGAGCTGGAAAACACATCTCTGAGTGGGCCAGGGAGGTCCTTTACGGTAAGAGACCAGGGCTGGTGGCACATCATCACCACCACGTCATTAAAAGAAACGGAATGACCAAGAATGAAGCTATTCCTCTTCTGGATAATGCCTTGAGAGGGCAGGTTTCAACCAGCCCCAGGCTCAGCTACTGCAAAATCAAATCAAACTAACTCTGAATTATGCAGGTCCTCAGCTTCATTTTACTCACAGTACCACCCCTGTCCAGAAGAGACTCCCCAAAACTGCCCACCACAGCCTCCTCCCATCCAAGACTTCCTACAAAAATGAACATTTCATGGTAGCCCCCAGCCAGCAGATCGGGTTTGGCCTTACAAGAGGTAGCCAAGCTGGCCAAGAACAGCCCTTCCCTCTCCTGCAGCAAGCTCAGAGCACACCAGCACGGGCAGGGAAGGAAGCAATGAGAGATGCAAGCTTTCAAAGAGCTTACAGAGCAATCCAAACGTGAAAATGTATTAAAATAACAGGAAATTAGATAATAATTATTAATTCTGTACAAGGCACGCTGGAGAGCTGCAGTACGCAGCCAAGCAAGATCCCCTCCAGTTTAGGTGTTGCTGAGGTTTTGAGAACTGCCCTTCTTGAAGGGTGAACGTGAGCGGCTCCACATCCACCCTGCTGTTAGGAAATCACTGGGGACGCTGGTTTCTTTGGTTCCAACAGCGAGGATTTTCTGGGAAGTTGAGAGTGCACCCTGGCAGGGTGAATAACAAACCAGAGCACTGCGATTTTTCAGTTATCTCCGCTCAAAATAATTTATGAGAGGAATTAATCTCGCTGACAGTGACTGACAAAGCAGCTGCTCCAGGTCCTTGTTTTCGCCTGTGCGCAATCGTGCTTTTAAATAATTCCAGAGGGTTTTTTTCCTACATAGATCCTTTTAAAAAATAATTTTAAAAACTGCAAAGGAATGACTGCGGGAGAGAAATCAGGAGAGAGGAAATTCAAGGAGAGAAAGCCTCGGGGGAAAGGCCTTCCTGCAGCACTCCCTCACACGTACATCCCTCACTGCTGCTGAACGGCGAGGCTTTTTTATTTAGGAACCGATTACCAGCAGGTTATACACATCGAAATACAGTACACACTTTCCTGTTAAGCATCACAGACTGGGTTTTCAAAACTGCTGTGTTTGTGCGGCTCTGTTTTCATCTAGAACGGTGTGCCCACTTCAAATGAAGTATTTGGAGTGAGGTACAAGTACTGTGTTTTTATAGTATTTATATACTGCTTTATTTCTATATTCCATGCATAACAAGAGGTTAAGGCCCTTGACAGAAGGAGTAGGGAACAGAAAAGCCTTCTCCTCAACTGCTCACCACTGGATCTGCAACCCAGGTGCATGGAGATCCTCAAATCTACTGCTGAGGATTTTGGTACATTGGGAATTTACCTCCAAATCTAAGGTACAGATAAAGATGCTCTTGCTACTCTACCTAGAAGAAAATAAAGGACGTATTTCCCTCCCACCAAGTGCTTCTATTCCATCTCCACGCAGGTAGGTTGGTGTAAACCATCAGTGCAGGCGGTTCAAGCTAACACAGCCAACCTTAAATTAAAGAGACTGGAAACGTTCACACAGCGCGTTATCATGGGATGGTAAAGTCTGAAACTTGCCCAGCTCCATCCATAACAACTTATTTGTCTCTACTTGTCTTGATCTAAGGATAGTTCTGAAGACAACTCTTCTTTTCCTGTGTGACAACTACACAAAGCACAAATAAAGAAAATTAGACCCTGTCAGCTCCTCCATGAAGTAGCTGCTGAGTAAACACTCCCATGTGTGCAGTAGTAAGGAACGAGTTATACCTCCTTTTTGCTCTCCTTGTTTTGTTCCACTTCGATATCAATCGGGTTATTTCCATTTGCTTCCTCCATCTCATCCTCACTGGAAGACAAAAGCAAACAGTCCTGTATTAGTTTTCTTAGCTCCCATGCTAGAAGTAGTGCATGGATGCACTAGGAGGCCCAACAGCCTTCCTTAGTTTTATTCCCAGGGTGTTTCTTACAGGCTTGGGGTGAGGTTTTTTTATTTTGGGGTTTTTACTTGGTTTAAGTCAAGAAATTCTTCATTGCCAAGATGCTAAGGACCACGGCTTGTAAAGAAAACCTTCTCAGCAGTGCACTTAGGGAAAATAACTCTGCTCAGCTGAAGGGAAGGTGCATGGAATTGATTACACGAGTTGTTTTTTAAAGAGTATGGGACACCAAATTTTAACTTTAGGCAAACCCAGACAGAAAACAAGATTTAGAATTACAGTATGCAGCTAAACCACAGGTTTCATACAACTCCTTAACATTTAGCAAAACAGACATGTGCAAGATGAACTCTCAAGCATAAAAAGTGTTTGGGGTTTTGGTTTGGGGCCATTTTATTTTGTTTTGGGGTGTTTTGTTTGTTTGTTTGGGGTTTTTTTTCAGTGATAGCCTCGGATTTCATGCTCCCCATAGAAAAGAATAAGAGATTATTATCAGTTACAGAATAACAACAGGCATGAAACTGGGGCCATACTGAAGTGACCTTGGCACACCTGGCCACTTTGGCTTCACTGGAATCGTCAGACATTACGTCAAATATATTTTCACCATTTAGAAGTCTTGGTACTGTACACACCTGAAGTTAACTGCACCATCTGGGAGGATGCCCAGAAACAGAAGAAAGAAGCTGATCAAATCAAACCTTTTTATTTAAATAAAAAACGTTACTGCTGGGTGGCTTGAGCTGGCATCCCTATCCACAGGAGCGGTCACTTGTAAAGGCAAGCTGCCTAAATCACCAATTCACGAGGTATTTCGTTTGTGTAATCGTGATTCTAGCACGTAAACTCACCAGCACCCTCTCCCAAGGCTTCATATGCAAAGGTCCTCCCATATAACTAAGAACAGCTACTGAAAACCTGGTCCCAAATGCTATTTTGGTGACAATTTGGGGGTTGGGGAATTTCCCTGCCACATCACAGAGGACATGCGGCAGTACTGAAGTGAGATACCTCACGCTGCCTCTTCTCTTCAGCCCAGCTCCCCAAAATGGGCTCTCACCTGGGGGCAGATTTTGGCCTTTCCACAAAGGCCAAACCCCCCTGGGTTTTGCTGTGCTCTTGGGTTCCAGCAAGTTCCCTAAACCTGAGCCGAATCAAAACCCACCCACTCATTTCTGCACTTTCAGACATGGATCACTGGTAACCAGAGGGTCTGGAAGTTTTCCCAGCACCTCCAAATCCAGGCACCCCAAACTTCCCCAGCTTTGCCAAGCTCTTGGGGGGTGAAGGGGTTGGAGTATTTGGGAGGGGAAGAAGGGAAATCGAACGTCAAGCTGGTGCTGAGCTTGCCGCAGATGTAAACCAAATTACACACTTCCAATCCAGCTGCTTTCCTCAAAGGTTACAGAATTACAGCCCCATACAGCGCTTTCCCAGTCACCAGCTGGTCAGAGCTGCTGCATTTCCTACCAAACAGCCACAGGTACCAGAGAGGTGCATTTCCAAACTGCAGTGATTTCATTGATGAGCACAGAATGAAACCAGAGAGGTGGCATTAAAAGATCCTAAACTACAGAGTACAAGTACATAGTCTTTAGAAGAGATACTTTTTCCCCACCCTCCTAAATTAGAAATATTAAATAAAACATAAAAATGTAAAATAAAAATAATAATCATATCGTATCATATCACAGATTTTAAAAAGCAGGATGGGGAGAAGAAAACTCAAGACAAGGGAGGGTAAAGAACAGAATGGAAAAAACCACTCATGTCAGAAGAAGCCAACCAAGCACAGGAGGAGTTGGCTGGTAGTGTTCTCCCCAGCCCTGCCCATTAAGCAAGCACTGGAGATGTACTGGAGATGGGAGAGGTGCAGTGAGTCACTGGTGTGGCACAGCTCAACCCTAGAAATGCATTTCCTTGCCAGTCCCAAGCAGGGCTGGCCCAGACGCAGCGGAGCCAGCACAGGGCTCCTCGGAGGCAGAAGCTTGTGCAGAGCCTTGCCCAATTACACTGGGAGCCTTCCAAGGCCCAGAGCACCTCACGTTGGGTCTGCAGAGACATAAACTGCGTTTTGGAGCAGGTTGAGAAGGACCTGGGTCCTGCAGGTGGAGTTGCTGCTGTTCAGAGGGGGCTTTCCCTGCAGAGACCTGAGACCACCGGCTTTTCTGAGGTCCTGTCAGCTCCAGAGCTAAGCACAGTGAGCGAGGGCAATGCTACCTGTAGGGATGGCTCCAGCAATGGCTCAGCTGCCTTCCAGGGCTGGCACAGGTACCCCAGGAGGGCAAATTTGCAGACATTTGGGGAACAGAGCTCGGCCTGACAGCCTCATACTGGAAATCAAGTGGAAACACTGGTTTTCTAAGGGAAAGGGAGGGAGTGTGCACACACGCAGGCTGAGGGATGCTGCACTAGAGCCTGCTCCCCAGCAGGTGCAAGTTCTCACTCTACCAAGCATCATATGGAGGAAATAAAGGCAGATTTCTCGCTCGTTCATAACTTCCTTTCTTTGTCCTGCTTTTCTGGCTCTGCTCACAACAGCGCCAGTAACCAGTTTGGATTTCATCTTCTCCACCCTCAAGCAGGATCAGGGAAAAAGCTTCCAGAGCGATGAGACGGTGACTGCACTGGAGGGCCATCAGGAATAGCAGTGTTGATAAGCGAGGACACCTCATTGCCAACAGAGTCCTTTTGGCTTGAAGGGAAGCAAAACGTGCACGGCAGGGAAGAGGGATGGGGAGAAAAGGTGTGGTACCAGGAAACATTTGGGGGAAAATCCTCCACCCAGTTTCTTACCGGCTAACAGGAATCTCTGAGATAGGTAAAAAGTATCAGTGTGTGGCAATACACAGCCCTTCTGCTCGCACACCTACCTCTCCTCGCGTTCCCTTTTTTGCTTACGAGCATGCCGGTCCATCACGCTCGTTTTAGTCCTTGTCTTCTTCCAGGAGTAGTAAAATTTCACCAGGCTGGCTATTGATTTGTCAGGAAGCTGCAAATTAAACACGTATCCTTTTATATGTTTGTATGTAAAGTAACCCCAGGAGTTCCCATGCAACCGGTCTGGTTTTGTCAAGGCACGACTGATCTCTCCACGTTGGATTGTCTCAAAGGCTTAAGCCAGGCAGGTCTGCAGCCTTTCCCAAAACGGTCGATGGGGGAGTGGTTCAGGTTAGTGCTACTATTTAGGACATCAAAATCTCTACAGAGCATCTCAGCAAGCCTCCACTCACCAGCCAGCGAGCGGCTTCCCTTAGAACAGAGGAGCAGGGCAAGAGCAAATCCAGAACGGGGCCTTAGAGCAGAGATAAGAGTTTTAAAAGGCGACACGGGCAGGAACTGCTGCATCCTGAGCACAGCTGATGCCGGGTTCAAAAGGCTCATTCACACCATCCGCGCGATGAAATCTATTCAGAGGACTCAACAAAGGAAGTTTTCAAAAGCATGTTTTCATGTTTGACCGTGTGGTGAACTGAGGATACAGCAAAGCACGAGCCTCAGAATTCACTCTCTCTTACACTAATGTCATGAGCCTGGAGCCATGAATGAAAACTCTGCCTCCAAAAACCCACAAAACTACAGCAGGACTAATTTTCTGCTTCTGAGGGATGTTCATGGGTGTTCTCACAAGGTAAAAGCCCAGCCTTTAAGCTGAATAGGACAAGTTTTAAGTGTCTGATTCAGCTTGGAGGGCAGGACGAGTAGGAGGAAACCAACACTGAGCAAGAGCCACATCTCTCTTATTCAGATACCGCAGTCTAAGCCTGGTTCTTGGGCTGCAGCTTGACTTTAGGTCCTAATAAGTGATGGATGGCACCAGAGGTACCACCCTGGCCCAGGGCTGCACGTAGGCGGAAATCCATGGGCACCATGACCGTGCCATGTGGCACGCTGGGACACTGGAATCGGAGTGCCCTAGAGCAAGGCTGCTGGTGACAAACACCACCTCGGCTACAAACACATGCCAGGAGTGCCAAAGAACCAGAACCCGCTCCGGTAAATCACGTAACTCACTGTTCATTCCCTGGCTTTGATGGTTTCCCCATCAGTCCCACGCTGTGCCGGCGCTAATGGGGCAGTGTCTATAAACCAACACTACCGCGCTCCCGAGCCATTGCTTCCTGTCCCCTGCTAAACACAAAGCTTCGTGCTATTTAATTCCTTTCATGCCAGATGGCTTTTCTGGGAGCAACAGTAAAAAAACTATCATTACCCAGGGACCAGTGCACGAGCTTGGCATCCCCGCGCTGGAACGCGCTGCGTTCGGGGACAGCCACGCTTCTGCACATAAACCAAACTGAGAGCACCTTGCTTTGGCATTTAACCAAGCTACAATACAGGATGGGCTTTATTTCTTTGTAAAAAGAGGAGTAAAGGAGGAAACAGCTTCACCCTTCAGCAGCCCACAGCTCTCCAGGCTGTATCTGTCTATTCAAGCCCCATCATTTAACCCAAAGAAGTGGGTGACCCTCTTGGAAAGGGGCCTGGCAGTTTTCCTTCATGCTTGGGAGGCAAATCGCCTTTTGCTTTTCAGCAGCACAGCCCTTCACGTGTGCTTTAGAGACTGCAACAGCCCAGGCTCGCTTCCAAGGGTCACAGCCAACATAACCAGGTCCTGCTGGAAACCTGAGGGGCATTTGCTGAAGGAAAACAAAGGATGAAGTCTGGTTCCCACCCAGGGGATGAACCACGTGAAGAACCTCTCAAAATATAATTAATAAAAATTTACAGCACATCCTCTGCTTCTTTTGTAACAAAACTGCACAGACCCCAGCAGTTCCAATCAGTTTAAATAAAATATCACTACCGCCTGAAAGCAAAGGCCTGAATGCCTGAAATGATGTGCAAACCTCCACCACAGCATCCACTGACAGCCCCGAATCCCATTAAGCACAAACTCCACAGGCAAATGAAATGAATTCCTGAAAAGCAGGCTGCAAGGAAGGAAATCAACTCTGCACAGAGACGATCTCTGCTGCGTGTGTGGGTGGGCACGCGTGTGCAGACCAGGCCTGAACTCCAGCTGAGACATAAACACCACCACAGCGCGCCGGGGACTGAAAACTGTAATTTCCAACCCAAAAAAATAGCACAGTCGAAGTTCACCCTGAACCAGTAAAGCACTTCAGGAAAAAGCTTTTACAGAGACTCTGGAAGTGATGGGGTTTTTTTTTTTCCCCTTTCTCTTCGTGGTTTTACTTTTCCTTGAGCATCCCCTTTGGCCAAAAGCACCAGAGAGGAGCTCAGCACAATTAGCGCTGACGACGATGGTCCAACCGCCTGCGCTGCCTTCTCCATCCCCGTGACACCACTCACCATCTGCTGGATCCTGTGGAAGGTTTTCCCGTGGAAGCTGAAGGCCTGTTCAAACAGGACCTTGTCCTCCACCGTCCACTCATCTGGGAACGGAGTGAAGTTGGGCAGATCCGCCAACGACTTCTCGATGTTGTGCTTGTGCCAGAACAGCATCCCGAGGGCCTGCGCGTGACCAGGACAACAAGGGGACACTTTTAATCACAAGAAACATTATCAAAGAGACAGCTACAGCCTTTTTCTTGGGCAACACATTAAACGTTATTTTAATTTTCGGCTATATCAGATGCTTCCGTGCACAAGAAACCTGGAATCTGAGCCTCACCCTGCTGGGTTTTGAAGACCAACTTGAAAGGGGGAGAAGACAACTGAAGAAATTGAAGAAATTAATCCAATTTTACTGATCATGCACAGCAAAGGCTTGGGAAGATAACCTAAAACCAGGCTGGACTGAAGGATGCACCTTGCCAGTGCCGAACTCCCATCATTTCCCATGGAATTAGGAGGACTGGGGTTTTTTTAGGGGTGTTGAGGGGGCTCTTTGTGATGAAAAAGGGGAAAAAAGAGGAAGGAGATGCAAACCATCCTCCTTCTCTCCCTGAGGTGCGCACCCACCGCGAGCCATTGGGGGAAGGCCCAAAATGCAGAGCCAGAAGTCAGCCTCTGGTGATGGCTGCAAAGTGAAAACAACCCCTAAACGCTGAGTAAAACGTCGGAGTAACCTGCTCCTCATATGCAAACTGCCCTGGGGTTTCGCAGCCGCAGTTGCTCTCATCTCGTAGTTTCACCCCGGCCGCTCAGAGCTACAAAACCCCTTCAGAGCTGGGGCTTCCCCGCTGCGCTTTGCTATGCAAAAACCAGTTCCTTTATGGGATTTTGCTCCCCTGAGATCACGCACAGGGTCTGCGTATGAATATCGGCAGAGCAAGAAGGGGCCTTGCTTGTGGCACAGTCCCTGGAGGTGTCACAGGAGCCACACGGCCACTTCTCTCCATCCCCTTGGGCAAGCATGGGGCTTAAGGACATTGTTTTACACTCATGGGCTGAGTTTTCTCCCCTCTGCCAACCCTTTTGGCTTCAGATCTGAGCTGTACCAAATATTGGCAGGAAGGACATTTGGCAAATTGCTCAGCCGCTTTCCATCCTGGTGTGGTTAAGTCCCGTAACGTCTGTACAGCAAGGAGGGGAGAAAAATGGGGACAGAGTTGGAGGAGCAAGTGGGAGACCTCTATTTCTGGTGTTAAACTGAACTAAAGTGTCCATCAAGGTTTTCAAAACACAAGAATTCAGTGTTTTTTTTAAATGGCAAGCTTCATTTTGATCAGTCTTCCTGATAATCTATGCTCTCCAAACACTTCTCCACTAAAGCAAAACCCACTTTTATTACCTTGACCATCTCTTTCAGCAAATATTACCCCCAATATCCAATACTGGGATCTATCCATCTCAACTGAAGTGAGCTATCACCCTTATTTTCATTTAAGTTCACAGCCTTTTGGTGCCTTCGTGTTCCTTTTATTGCTGTTTCCTGCTCTTTGAAACCATAAATAGAGCCTCATCACTCCTTGTTGTGCTGGAAATGGTGCTGGCTGTCTCAACTTCAATGGTTTTGGTTCCACAAGGCTTTTTGAGCATCTAAGTGTGACTCAGAGATGACAGCGGAGTCATTGAAGTAGAAACCTGTGCCTATCAAAATCATTGGTTTCTGTGCTTGTGGCCTTTGCCTGAACAATGTCATGAACTTCTACATTTTGATAGAAACCCTTTGGAGAGATAAGATGTCATTTGTCAGTACAATAAGCTGTGAGATTCCTCATTCTTCCCTTTCCAGGCAAGTATTAGTGCATAAGGAAACTCTGAGTGTTGAAATCAGTGTTAATTAATACAGAAAGGATGAATACACAACCCTAGATGATGTAAAGGAGGGGTCTTCCTTTCCCCTCTGCTCTGCCCTGCTCACACCACAGCTGCAATCTTGGGTCCAGTGCTGGGCCCTCAGCTCCAGAAGGACAGGAACTGCTTGAAAGAGTCCAGCAGGGCCACAAAGATGCTGCAGGGAGTGGAGCATCTCCTGCTGAGGAGCGGCTGAGGGAGCTGGGGCTCTTGAGCTTGGAGCAGAGGAGACTGAGGGGTGCCCTCATTCCTGGGGATCCATTGGGAAAGGGCAGTGTCAGGAGGAAGGAGCCAGGCTCTGCTCTGGGATGGCCAATGCCAGGACAAGGGGCAATGGTCCCAAGCTGGAGCACAGGAGGTTCAAGCTGAACATGAGGCCAAACTTTGTGAGTGTGAGGGTTATGGAGCATGGCCCAGGCTGCCCAGAGAGGTTGTGGAGTCTCCTTGTCTGGAGACACCCAAAGCCCTGGCCGTGTTCCTGCGTGACTGCTCTGGGGATCCTGATCTGCAGGGGTTGCACTGGGGGAGCTCCAGAGGGCCCTGACAACTCCTCATTCTGGGATTGTGATTCCTTTACACCCCAAGGCTGCTGCAGTCGTCCACTGCCACCCGAGGTGCTCATCTCTGCACAGTTTGCAGCAGGTTTAACGTAAATAACCGTGGCCATTGCTTTGCCTCAGAGAAGCAGCTGATGGTTCAGTAGCTCATTAATAATTGCCAAGACATCCATGAAGCAGCACCAGAGCAGTCAGCTGGAAACTGCAACGCATTTCGGCAGCCGGCCAGAGACAAACCCAGCTTTTTAGCCACGTTTTGGGGTTCAAGAGGCAGTCACCATAGGAAGCTTCAAACTCACGGCCAAACTGCCTTAGAAATTACAGTGGGTTTATGGTTTTCTTCTTTTGACTCTTGCTGTAAAATAGGGATGAACTCTGTATCCCAAAAGTGACTATTGGGAACAGTGGGTTTTGGAAAGAAACCCAGCGCAGAAGGGAAGGACCAGTTGTGGGCAGTCACTTGGGGTCGTGTTTTAATACCTGCTGAAAGAGATTACCTTAAAATGAAGTATTCAAAGGGTTGTTACCTGCTCCATGTTGTATCCATGCTTCTCCTTAGCGATGGCAATGTATTCATCCACTGAAAAACAGAGAGGAGGCATAAGAGTATTTCACAAAACCATCTCATCCCCTCTTCCCTTTGCCAACCCAGTCTAAAACCCAGTCCTCTGCTCTGACTTCAGTCACGGCCATTGCATCCTCCACGGAGCTCCCATCAACCGCTGCTGTTTCCAATAATTCAGGAAAGAAAACAAGTTAAAAGTAATCACCAAATTACTCCGTATTTTCTGTAACAAGCCTAAATGATGCATGGTACCCGATCCAGCTCAGTACTTGTGAACCACAGCCTGTAACAGTTCAGAACCCGTTCACCAATGCTATCAACATGACTATCTCAGCTATTTTTTCCCCATTTTTTTTTCTGTTAAATCCACCAAAGCAGCGAATTCTTAGGAACAGAAATCCCCAGGCACAACCCATACATTCCAATACCGTTGGACTCCAGCGTTGCACAACCACCGCAGATATTCTGGCACATTTTCCAGCCTCGCCAATTTTAATCTTGGCCCAAACGCCACCTCTGGGTATTAGGAGACCCCCACGAGCTTTTAACCTTTGCAACCTGCAGGGTTATATTTTGTGTAGATGGGACTGAAACCCAAATTGCTCTTTCAGTGACTGCGCTTATGTTACATCCAACAGCACCCCTTTGGGAGGGCTGGCTCCAAATCAGTCCCAATGGTGGTGGTTTGCAGTCTGTGCCCTTGTGCTTGGTCATTATTAATTGCTGTTTAATGACAATAACAGCCCTGAAATAAAATATAAGCTAAAAGGCTCATAAGTTATAGATGAGCTGTAAGGAGTGAGGCTCCTGCTTCACCAAATGGAGTGGAAGATGCTGGGAGCACTGGTTGGCTGTAGGATTCCCAGTGTGCCCAGTACCCTCAGACTCCAAACTGGTGCACACAGCCAGAATTCTCATTTCTCTACAAATTTTGGGACTTCTAGACAAGCCACTTAGCCATGAACTCCAAAAGTACTGGGAAAACTGAGAGCGTAGATCAGAAGCTGCGCAGCAGGAGAGCGCCAGCCTCTTATTTTCAGCTTGTCATCAACACACAGAAATTAAATCGAGGTACTTAAAGCAGACCTCCCATCTTACTAGGAAACATGGCATTTGATACCCACGCCAGCCCTTCGTTTGGAAGGGAGGTGCAGCAGTTCATTTTCACACAAAGGTGCTGCAAAAAAGGGCCGGGACTATTAATACATTATTATATTGTGGCAAGGGAAGAGCACGCAGTCAATACAGGCACAAATCCACGTCAGCAAGGTCACTCCATGAGGATTTCGGTTTTCCCACCACCACCAGGCGCTCCCAAGGGGCGACCAACTTGGTTTTTGGGACCATGTTCCAGGTACATCCCCATAGCACCAGTGCATCTACCCCTCAGACTCCACAGACTGGGCTGAACTGGGATGAAAACCATCCCTTCCTGCACACAACCTGTTCTTGCACAAGGCAAACAACCAAATCAGCTTTGCCATGGGGAAAAAACCATGTAAAACCACACACCACGGGTCCAGAAGGACCACACCGGGGACACGGGGATGGAGAAGGGAACTGTCCCCCCTACACCATCACACATAAGCAGGGCAGGGACCATCAGTGGGATAGGGGCACAAGAGCCACTTCAGATGCTTCCAAACATTATAAATCACCCCAAAAAAAGCTGCCAGGAAACCCTAAGTGTGGCATTTCCCTGTGCTTCAGCTGAACACTCATTTCCCCGGGCCAGGTATAGCACACGCAGTGTTATATATTTTGTCAAAGGGGGAAATGAAGGGAGGGGGAGGGAAAGGAGCCGAATTCTCTGTAGTCCAAGGCTGAATTAAGCTCCTGAATGCTAAGTACTGCTGCATTAACCAGCTTGCTTTGCTGTGCAAAGATCTACAGCTCCTGATTTGACTTCAGCATCTTCTCCTTTAATATACACA